CCCGAACCACCTCGCTCGAACGCGCTGTGTGATCCGTCCAATTTCTTACGGATTCCTCCCCTCCTGCAACAGGGATGGCGATACGACACGGGGAAGGCCACGGAGGCCACTACTTGTGCAGGGTTGGGTGGGGCGCGCAAGTTGGGTTGGGTTAGTTATAATCTCTCGTCATTCGGCACGGTCGGGAGGCAGACGATCAGTACGGGCGCGACTCCCGGGTCGCATGGATCCGCTCGAGGATCTACGCGGCTGATCGCGAGACGTTGATGAATAAATCGGTAATGTTTTGACCTTCTTGACGAGGGAAAAGAAGAAAAAAAAAACGATAAGAAACGCGAGACTAAACCATCGGCGATGGCAAATATACTAAGCGTCGTCGTACGTATAACAACGTGCTCTGCGCGTAAAAACGCCCCATTAAACACATCGTTTCTCTCCTCTATAGCTCTTCCCGAACCACCTCGCTCGAACGCGCTGTGTGATCCGTCCAATTTCTTACGGATTCCTCCCCTCCTGCAACAGGGATGGCGATACGACACGGGGAAGGCCACGGAGGCCACTACTTGTGCAGGGTTGGGTGGGGCGCGCAAGTTGGGTTGGGTTAGTTATAATCTCTCGTCATTCGGCACGGTCGGGAGGCAGACGATCAGTACGGGCGCGACTCCCGGGTCGCATGGATCCGCTCGAGGATCTACGCGGCTGATCGCGAGACGTTGATGAATAAATCGGTAATGTTTGGACCTTCTTGACGAGGGAAAAGAAGAAAAAAAAAAACGATAAGAAACGCGAGACTAAACCATCGGCGATGGCAAATATACTAAGCGTCGTCGTACGTACAACAACGTGCTCTGCGCGTAAAAACGCCCCATTAAACACATCGTTTCTCTCCTCTATACTACGGTTGCGTTCGCGCGTTGTGTGAAAACCGTACCGATCCGGTGAATTGACGTCATGACGTCACCGGCTGGGAAACCGGCGACGATTGCCCAGAAGGCGCGCAGAAAGATCTCCTTGCCGTGGTTCCGTCAGAGCTCGGCGACACCGCCGCACGCGACCCTCTCCAGACAACATACCATCGATACACCAAGCTCGTTCCAGGCTCGACTTCTGCGCCGTCAACCTTCCCTAACCCAGGTACTATCATATCCTTGCGATACCCCCTGTCTGTCCTACCTTCAAGACTAATCATCTCTCAGATGATCTTCGCAAGTCGTAAGATTAAATTATTTCTTTGTTTGCTTTACTTGGCAGATTTTTTTTTCTTTTTTAAAGAAATCGAAAAATATATATATTTTATTAAAATGAAAATTCTGTTGTAGAGGAAATATTATGATAGTAGATTAGTCTCGATATAACACAATACATTAAATATATATCTTTTTTTAAGCGAAGATTGTAGAAATAGATGCGGGCTTGAAATGATTGACTTGAATTAATGCAATTCATTTGAAAATTTGCAAAAGAGTAAGAATAATTTAAATTCTATTATATATATGGAAACGATAACGTGTAATCTGATAATCTTTTTTGCATTTCTTTATCGTGTCACCTTTCTTCTATTTCCTTTCTTTTCTTCCTTCAGTTTAGTCATTTGCGCGGTGTGGCGCGACGCGAATTTGGCACGGAAAATTTGGCGTGGAAAATTCTATTTTGGATCGCGGAATGTACGAAAAGCGGACGAACCATCGGACGGGACCATTCGCGGCCACGTCCGGCAAACAATTGCGCGTCTTTCGCGGCGATGAGAGACACCACCACATTGGTGGTTGAACACGGTAAACATACACATCCGCAATACAATTTACACGCACACGCACGGTATTTATAGTAACGTCAAAGGACCGTTGTGTCGTGACATAAGCTATTTTCAAAATGCCGGAATTGTGCGTGTGATTAAAAACGTAGAAGGGTGCGCGCGAGACACACGCTGACACTGATCTACTGACGATCAGAATCATTCAGGCATTAGTAATCGAATCTCGCTCCGTCGATCCGCAAATTCAAAGACAATCGGTCCTTCGCAGCGAGAGTGGTTTTCCGAGACCGACAGAGAGGAGGAGGACGATCGTATCGACCCGGTCTACGCTTGCGTAAGCACGAGAGGGCAGTTCTCTTCCTATTCGTTTTGCTTCCCTGCTTTCGGTATATCCCACCACCCTCTTTACGCTATTCCGCCCGCTGTTACCTCTTCTCCACCTATACTCTTCCGCCGTTACTTTCACGCACGCGCGCATTTATAGACGCATCACACTTGACTAATTATCCGTTTCTATATTCGCCTCCGATCTATCATTGGTATTTAATATGTATCGAGCGCGATTACTTCCGCAATGGGACAAATCTATCGAGGATCTTTAATGTGTAATTCTCAGACCGGAGTAGTGGAAATGACATGGGTGGTCGCCGATCATATGGCGACACCGGGCTCGAGAGAACTCAGCGTGACGAAAGGGCAGCAGGTCGAGGTGCTGGAGAACGGCAGTAGCACCGGTACCACTCCCAGTGGGGTTCCTACTACCGGTGAATGGACTCTGGTACGTTTACCACTCACGCCAGGGCAAGCCGAACCTCCCTTGGAGGGTCTGGTGCCCACCAGTGCTCTGAAACAGCCACCGACCGCCTCCTGCAAAACTTCGCCGTCCAGAAAAGCGTCCACGCAACAGCAGCAACAGTCGCATCAGTATCATCATCATCAACAACAACAACAGTCGCATCATCATCCGTCATACCATCAACAGCAGCAAATCAATCAGGCAATCGTCCAAACACAACAGCAGCAGCAACAGCAAACTGCCGTCACATCGTCGATTACAGCCAATACATTGCCGTCGTGCACCGCAGCTAGCATCGCACCGGTCACACAGCAGACGGCGTCGTTGACGACTTCGCTGTCGTCCGCGGTCCTGTCGCCGATGTTATCGGAGGATGCAGGTGAATAGTGATGAAAGAGTAGCCCGCGATCTAGGATATCAAGCTGTCATCTCGCGTTTTTTTTACCTCTTTCTATGTCACATACTACTATATATTGCAAAATAATTCGAGCGTATATCGTGGCACACGGAGAAATAAAAAATTCGTGATTGTGTGGATCTGCAAGGAAGTCGCGGTGAACCGCAAATTGGCGCAAGGGCCGTACAATGACGCGATCGTACACTTGCATCTTATCAATTCCGATAAACGTAACAAATTGGAGCATGATTTCAGAATAGAAAATAATGCCGTTTTTAATTGATTAACAGAAACCACCGGAAGCGACGGTAGCGGGTCAACGACTAGTACAAATTCACCTGGCAACAAGAGACGAGGTTTTAGCGGGTAAGCATTTAATAAAAACTGCCTCGTCTAAATCTGCCTCTCTCATTTTGAAATGTCATACGTACAACGATAATCTTGTACCGTGGCGGGTACATTTCTGTTTATAGACGGAAGTGGCTCCCACCGCCTTTACGCAAACTTAGCCAAGGTAAAGTGGAGAAAACCAATACTGTAGCTGTGTCGACGTCATCGTCTCCTTTGATTGGACCGTCTTTGAAGAAAAGCAGCTCGGATAAACGCTTTAAATTACCAAGCGGCAACGAGCATAATCGACCTGGCAAAACTGCGTTCGATGCCCAAGAGGGTGAGGAAGGCGTTAATAAGGAGGAGGAGAGTGAAGAGCAGCATGAGGTCGACGTGGATGTAGACGTTATATGTGAAAGTGACGATACGATAGCGGCGACAAGTTCGCAAGAGCAAAACGGTGGTGAGGATGCCGACGACGATTTGGAACTTCCTCCTCCGATGAAGCCTATAACCGAACCGATACTTGTAACAACCGCGAATGGTCCATCAGGATCTACGATACCGAGTGAATTGCCTGGGAAACGAGTAAGCATTTGAATATTTTTAAAGCGTTTTGTTTTCTCTCACTTTCTTTCTCTTTAATTGTTTTTCTCGTCTTCAAGTTTTTTATAGTACATACATTTTTGTCGCTTTATTATTTCAACAGTCTGTTGAGCGTTCGACGAAAATTCTCGATGGCGGCGCCACGACGGCCGATCTGTCGGAGATTGAGCAGATTGTAAAGGAGAGAATGGTAAGCCTGCTCACAAATAGATATAGATTCGTGCATTGCTCCAAGTACTATGCATATCATTAACAGGAGCAACATACAGAAAATCAGGAGAGGCACAGTCTCATGCGAACCCCTAACGGGAAATCGTTGAGCAACGAGGAAGAATATTGTAACGCAACCATTAATCCAATTGCCGTCGAAGAATTAGATCCGGAAAGTACTGCACTCGCCAAGCGGCAATTTGTTATTCGCGAGCTGGTGGACACCGAGAGAGACTACGTCAATGATTTGAAGCACATAGTTGAAGGTTATATGGCACTAATGCGAAATCCCGATTGCGAGATTCCCTTGCCGGAAGATTTGCGCGGTGGGAAGGATAAGATGGTTTTCGGTAACTTAGAAGCTATGTACGAGTGGCACAGAGAGTGAGTCACTCATTGAAATTTTTATCCGATAATCCTACACATGAGATTTATACACGCACACACATACTCACATACATATGTTTATATCGACGTTTCCTGTTTTCAGTTTTTTCCTTAAAGCTTTGGAACGTTGCTTAGAACGTCCTGAAGAGCTCGGACCTCTCTTTAAACGTTACGAGCGCAAGTTACACATGTACGTGGTTTATTGTCAAAATAAACCCGTTTCGGAATATATTGTGTCCGAATATATAGATACATACTTTGAGGTAAGATCGTCAAGTGACTAAATGGCATAAAATGTAAAATTATGTATTTAAACCATACGACGTATGTGTTATAGGAACTTAGGCAAAAACTTGGACATCGTTTGCAACTCTGCGACTTGCTCATCAAGCCCGTACAAAGGATTACAAAATATCAACTTCTTCTACGGGAGGCATTGCGCCTCACTGAACGAACCCAAAGGTTATCGGAAATCGAAGGCCTCAGAGCGGCAGCTCATGTCATGCGAGTTATTCCTAAAGCTGCAAACGATATGATGGACGTTGGGAGATTACAAGGTTTCGACGTGAGTACCGCTCGCTTTTTTTCCTCACTCTTGTTAGTTACATTACGCGGCAAAGGAACATCATTTACTACGTTTCTTAATTTTCTTCTAGGGGAAAATAACAGCGCAAGGAAAGCTCTTACTGCACGGGCCGCTTCTAGTATCAGAAATATCAAATGTATTGACGAGAGAAAGGGAATGGCAAGTTTTTCTTTTCGAGCAAAATATTATCTTTAGCGAAGCTGTCGGCAAGAAGACACAATTTACCAATCCTGCCTACATATACAAAGCACATATTCAGGTAAAATAACTAATTTCTTTATTTCTTTATTGTTCTTGGTCATTTTCGATCATGAGAAAGCAATATTGTTGCATGTTGTACGTAGGTGAACAAAATGAGTCTCGAAGATTCGAATGACGATCCGGAGAAATTTGTCATCCGATCGACGGATCCTCGAAAGCCCGGGCTAGGATTTTCTTGTAGCGTAGCGGAAGAAAGTAGTGGACCGCGCAGGCAGGATTGGACAGACACGATCACTGCCATCCTGCAAACTCAGCGCGACTTTCTCAAGGCGATACAGTCACCGATTGCCTACCAGAAGGAACTTACCAAAGATCCACTGTAAGCGTTTCTAAACTTGACACATTGAACTTACACACTCTCTTTTAATATTCGATCTGTGAATATTCGTTCCGACATATTTTTGTATATTTTATATGAAAAGAGACACATACACACATCCATATACACGAACAAAGTGGCCATAAGAGCTAGATAATTGTCAGTGGTTTCCTATAAACGTCTCATCACCTGCTTTCCTCTGCATTCTTTGGCACCAACTTCATCCATTTGTCGAAAATTAAACGACTACTTTTTAGCGTATTTGAACATATTTTAGTACTTGTAGATTATTATTAATACCACATGCTAAAAAGTGTGCACGTATCCAGTCATTTTTCTCACATTCCTTTTCTGTGAATTACCTTTATGTATTTGATGATGATATCTTGCTTTCGTAGTATAACGATTCAGTATTCAACTATATATTTCCTTGCGAAAGCTTATAAGAACGTCTATACACAATACTGTAAAAAAAACTTCTACTCTTCTATCGACTAATAAGAAATACAATACGGTTTATACACACACATGCAGACAGACAGACATATACAGAGGAGTATATGCAGGGTGTTACACAAAAGTGCTGCATTATTTTTTAATGACATATTGCCGGACGGAAATAATTTCTTCTTAGCAAAATACGAATGGGTAATGACAAAATTAAATTTTACATGTATTTACATGACTAGATAATCCTATCGAAAATTGTAGATGATGTATTGCCTCTAAATTTTTGTTGAAGACAGTCATCAAAAAAAGCAATGCAATACTTTTGGAATATACAAATATTAAATATAATATATATCTTTTCATATTCGATGACGTCTCGAAACGATTGTAGAATTCGACTATCGTTCTGTATCATATATATATATATATAT